AGCTTGCCTAGAAATAACTTACATCTATTGCTTGTTCCAGAGAATATTATATACATCTTTTACATACATCTTATTGTGTACATTTGATACTTACAACATGATGTCTTGAAATTCATGTAGATAGTATAATGGTTACTGTAGTGGAGCACATTAACATATCTGTCATCTCACATAATTTTTTTGGTATTTGTGTGACAAGAGTAGCTAAAATCTACTTATTTGACACAAATCTCCAATAAATACAATTTTATGGACTATAAAGTCCTCATGTTATACTTTAGATCTCTAGACTGGTTCATCCTATTTATTGTCTGCTGCTTTGTATCCTTTATATGTATGTGTGTGTGTGTGTGTATATATATACACCCTTTTTTAAGAGTCCACATATAAATTAGATCATGCAATATTTTTCTTTTGTTCTATGTCTAACTTATTTCACTTAGCATAACATGCATGTTGTGGCAAATGACAGGATCTCCTCTTTTTAAGGTTGAATAATATTTCAGTGTGTGTATCTGTGTGTATCACAATTTCTTTATTCATTCGTCCATCAATGAACACTTAGATGGTTTCCATATCTTATCTATTGTGAATAATGTTGCAATGAAATGGGGGTACAGATATCTTTACAAGGAGCTGATTTCATTACCATTGTATATACTGAGGGTGCCAAAAAATGTATACACATTTTAAGAGTGTTATCTATGTATTACTTTTTGTTTGCAGTAATCAGAAGTGTCTGAATGCTGATGGTAACCACTTTGAGCACCTCTTTTAATTGCAGAAGTCAAATATGACTTGAATTTGTCTTTTGTTATTGGTATATATTGAGTATTACAATTTTAATATCATTTTTTCCTTCTTAAAATGTGTATACATTTTTTTGACACCTTCTATAGACCCAGAAGAGGGATTGCAGGGTCATATGGTAGTTCTGTTTATAGCCATCCTAACGGGCATGATATACAAATTTTTTCAAAAGTGGAGCAGCTCAGAGGTGCACTCAGATATGGCTGGTTTGTGTGGTGGGTGGTCCTGGGCCAGCTGAATTACCTGTTGTCTCATCAGATGAGTTTGATCTCTCCTCAGAAGTTCTGTAGCATATTCAATAAATTCTTGGTAGCCTCCTACACCTCAGGCTTTGAGATCAAGCACAGAATCTTCCTTATTTGGAGTTCGTGGTCTAGGGTTAATGCTCAAAATCCTCTCCTGCTTGGACTGTTGGCAAGCATTTTCTTTCAGATTTTAGTTTGACATCCCTGTCTGTGACTGCTAGAGGGATCTTTCTTTTTCTTTTTTTTTTTTTAATGTATTACTATTCTTTTCTGGCTAATAAGAGCAATATATGCTTATTTGAAAAAATGAGAAAAATGACATGAGTAAAACATGTCATCATCTAGATATATTTATTCAGTGTGGAAATTGTGCTGTATTTTCTTCCAGACCCTTTTTAAAAATTATGTAGTTGACCAGGCATGGTGGCTTACACCTGTAATCCCAGCACTTTGAGAGGCCCAGGCGAGAGGATTGCCTGAGCCCAAGGATTTGAGACCAGCCTGGGTAGCATGGCGAGACCTCGTCTCTACAATAAATAAATAAAAAATTAGCCAGTCATGGTGGTGAGCACCTGTAGTTCCAGCTACTTGGAAGGCTGAGGTGGAAGAATTGCCTGAGTCCAGCAGGTCGAGGCTGCGAGGCTGTCAATATGCCACTGCACTCTAGTCTGGGTGACAGAGTGAGACTCCTATTAAAAACAAAAATTATTTAGTTAATCACAGAGTCTTTAAAGTTTAAGTTCTGTTTTTCCTTACTATCATATCAGAGATAGTTTCTCAAATCATGAAAAGCTCTTTGGAACATTGAGACTGATTTTTCTACAATTTAAATCCAAACATGTTACTTCCCTGCTTACAACCTTCCTGTCTGTCATTGGTCTTAGAAGTTCTCTACTTCTTAATGTCACAGACAAAGCTCCTCATGATCTGACCTCTGCACACTTCTCCAGGATTCTATCTTCACCCTTCCCTTCTCCCTTCACTGGCACCCACTCACCCCAACTCACAGGGTAGAAGTCATTTGCCAGTCCCTTCCCTCACACCCTTCATTCTGCCTACACCAGGCTACTTTCAGCTTCCCAGACTGCCCCGTGTCTTTTGATCCCTTGACCCTTTACTCACAGGGCTGTTCTTGCCTGGACTGTTCTCCTGCTGGCATATTCATTGAAACCCTTTTCGTTTGGCAATGGTCAGTTCAAACATCATCTTTTCCATTAAGTCTTACCTTTCCTCTGCACCCCACCATAGAGCTGCCTGTTCCTCTTGTTCATCCTCCGTTGTACTCCTTATGTTTAGAAGAGCACCTATTATAGCTTAGATTATAGAGATCAGGGAGCTGTGTTTTATTCATTCACATTTCTCAAGCACTTTACTTAGCATGTTGTAGATGCTCAGTAAATATCTGTTGAGTACAAATAAATGATCAGTTATAATACTGTGTAATGAATGCTGTGCATGGGATGTATAAAGAGTGCTTACAGGAGCCTAGAGGAAGGGCATGTCAGGGGTATGTGATTCCAGATCCAGCGGCCAGGAAGCATGTTCATTTTAAACATGGGAATGGCTTTCCTCCACTCCTCGTTACCTATTTGAGTCTATTTGCTCTGTCCTTATACACCATTTCCTTTATCTACTGAGATTATTATGGCCCTGAGTTCCAAGCGGGGCAGAAGTCCTCACCATGGCAAAACACTGGCCACTACTGCCTGTTTTCTCCCAGGAGCAGTGCAGACAATTTCATGTCAACCCTGAGTGCCCTTAGCTGGGGCCCAGCATTCCCAGCTCCAGCATAGGGAGAAAGGACCTCGGAAGAAATCCCTCTTGAATTTCAGAAGCACTACACTAACCCCATGGTTTGAGGCAGGCTACTCAGCATACATCTTAGTCAAACCCTTTATTTCCCTCTTCTTCCACTCACCACTTTCATCCCAGAGAGTTTCTCCCACAGATAACTTGGGCCTCTTTGCTCATAGAACAAGTCAGGTAGGAAGAGATGGAAGTATTTCCCCATGTGACACACTGGACTCCTCAGATGTTCTTTGTTCTGTAGGGTGGTTGAGAGTGAACCACGCCAAGCTGGTCAGGCAGAGATGGAGGCCTATTTCCCTGGCCTTGCCGTCACCAAGCTGCCAGCCAATAGGCTGCAGAGCAAAGACTGTCACAAAACAATGGGGAAGGAGGGGAAGTAAAGGGCATGTAATCAGATCAATCACCAGCTGGGCCCATCTGCTTAGGAGCCTGTCTCTGGTAATGGTACCAGGACACATGTCGTTGGAAAGCCTCAGTACCAGAAAGCCTCATTTCCTTAATGACAGGTTACAGATCCTGCATCTATAAATTTAGCTAAACCCTTCTTGACCTTTCTATATTTTTAGCCTATGCTACTGCTCTGGATGTAACAACTTCCATGGTCGATTACTTGTTCTGTAAATACCATTATCTCAAGTTAAAAGAGGTTGTCTCTCTCAAGCCTGAAGACCCTGTTCTCTTAATTCTAGTTTCCAGTACTGGCAACAAATTCATGTTTGGCCCTTGGAACATTTTGTTAATTTGGGGGTAGAGGAGTGGAAGAAGTAGTTTGATATCTCTTTTCAGCACTAAGTTTTTCAGATTCAAGTCTTAATATACTCCATCTTTTCTCATATAACAGCCTACCAGTCATCTCATTTGCTTTTGTTTCATTTCCCTGGACCTTGTTTTTCTACCTCTGTTTAGCCTGTGTTAAAATACAGCAACTGAGAGAGTTTGTGACAAATATTCCAAGTATAGATCACTTAAGGTCAGGCTGAAGCCTTTACTTCCTACTACATTTTAGACTATTTTTTATCGTTGTGACTTTAACCTTAGAGATAATGTCTAAGTCTACTAAGTGAAATCTTTCCTTTTAACCTAGGGGCTGGTATAAACAGACATCTAGTGAGAATAGTTTAGATTAGTCTCCCATTGTTTGTTCTGTAGTTGCCCAACTTGACCTTGATCTCTAGTATCTACATTGCTTCTGCCAGTTCATATAATGAAATGCTAAGCGCCACTGTGTGGTCCTTCTTCCAGGGTACTTGTAAAAATGTTAAGATTGACTCCCTTTTGAGGATTTTTATTATTAACAGCTCCATCCACTGGGGAAAGGGGGAAAGCCTCACCATTGTAGGGCATTTTTAACTTTGCAAAGGGGTTGTATAGCTATTAACTCTGTCTATTCCTTAGAAATCTGTAAAGAGGGAAGATCTAATTTGAAAACTGGGAAAACCTGAAGCATAGAACAATTGTGCATGTTTCACATGAATTCATCATATGACTATAGGTCTGGGATTAGACTTTAGGTTTCTTTACTCTTAGCTCCTTCTAGAGTGCCATATTAATTCTTTTAACTTGTTTTTCGCAATTCTGTAGTACCCTAATTAAGATAAATAAAAAAGATTATTAAATGAAAGAAAGCCTTTGGTAAATAACCTTAACAAAGATATTTCTAGGAAAGGCCAAATCTATTAACTTCTTATCTATATCTCTTTGCCCTCTTTGAAAGCATTGGGGCCGAGTGAGCAAAACATGATTTTACTTAACTAGTTCTATGACTACCCTCCCCTTATCAATTTGCACTTGATAGCCTTTAACTGATTTTCTTGTCTAACAGCTCATTTGGTGTAGAACTGCAATAATTAGCTTTACCTCTGGAGCTCTTGCCCAGAGATAGTCACTTTGACAATTTTATTATGTCCGGGAAATTGGCAGCACAAAGATGCCAAGTTCATTCTGATTGCCTGAGAAGGTGGCAGCTCTAGTGCAGAAGGATGAAATCTCTGATCTCCTAGTACTTCATTGTGGTTTGGTGAGAAAAGCCTTGGCTACTGATTTTCCTCATTGTCTATGGTTAGGCTGGGGGACACAGGTCTTCCAAATGGCTTTTCAGTGTACATTTCTCTAAAACTGTTTATTCTTCTCTTTCAGAGTCTAGAAGGAAGCTCATACCGGGGGAGCTTGAAAGACCCTGCAGGCTGCCTGAATGAGGGGATGACATCACCCACTCCCCCTAGAAACCTGGAGGAAGAACAGAAAGCCAAGGCCCTAAGAGGCAGGATGTAAGTGGCTTCCCCAGATTCTACCCTGGTGCATGCAAGGTGTGCAGTAGACAACGATCAAGGGGTAATTCGAGAGGGATTCTGCATAGTGTTTGCACTGATACCATTCATTCTTAGCAGAAGTGACCCAGATCTACACAGTGTGACAGATAAATATGGAGCCACTTGGGCTCTGACTTAAAGATGTTTAGGCTGAAGTAAATTCTGTGAGATAGCAGCTATTATTGACAAAGTGTGGTTTTAACCAAGGTCTGTTAAAAATGTAAAACATAGTGATAAAAAGAAAAGTTCAGCGAGCTGTGAGACTATTACTGTGGGTCTGTAGAATCAGAGAATCCAAGCCATGGCAGAAAGGCTCATAGCAGTCGCAGGTCACTTGAGGAAACATTTCTTGAAGTGTAGGAAAGTTAAGTATAGAGGAGGGAGCTGTTATACCACCACGCAGGTCCTACCTCTGCTTCTTCTCTAAAGGTTTTAATTTTGCATCCATCTGTGGGTTTTGTTCCAAGAGAACCTCCTCTCCATTTTGAATAGTTAGTGGTAAAATACAACTCACTCTGCAGACCATTTAACAAAAACTTGTATGTTATACAAGCTTTGAGTTATCTATGTTGATATGAAGTCAGTCTTCTACTATTTGAACTGGTCAGGAAGATACCAGTTACCACTAATATACAAAAGCATACTTCCTCTGAAACGTTAAATTTCTTGTTTAGGGTTTGACTCTGTATTGGAAGCAGAGCTACTGATGAGTCTTGGACATAACTCAGCATGTGAGAGACTGTAAGCAACAGCAAGAATTGGGTAGGCAGGTGGAGGGTCCCTCCCTGTTTTTATTGTTGATGTTGTTGTTGTTGGTTTTGGGGTTTTTTGTTTTTTGTTTAGTAGGAGTCTCACTCTGTCCCCCAGGCTGGGGTGCAGTGGCACACTCATGGCCACCACAGCCTCGACCTGCTGGGTTCAGGCGATCCTTCTGACTCAGCCTTCCAAGTAGCTGGAACTACAGGTGTGTGCCACCATGCCCAGCTAATTTTTTGATTTATCGTAGAGATGAGGTCTTGCCAAGTTGCCCGGGCTGGTCTTGAACCCCTGGACTCAGGCAGTCCTCTTCCTCCACTTCCCAAAGTGCTAGGATGATAGGCATGAGCCACTGCACCCAGCCCTCCCTGTTTTTAATTAGCCTGCCCTTCTGTCTGTAATTTTTCACTCCTTTAACCTGGTCACAGATGTGAAAATTAGCAAACATAAGTCAGGCCAGGTCTTTCTGTTGCCTGGAAATATACAAAGTGAATATTTATGACTTTGTTTCCTAGAAAGCAAAAGTGGAAACATAATGGTGAGGGCCTGGTGTCAAAGCAGGGCTGTGGCCTCATAGTGGAGATGAGCAAGTGATATGTCAACTCCATAATAACATATCCCCCCCTCAACTTTCTGAGAGCTCAGGGGGAACCCCAAGAGGATGGTGAATGGAACAGAGGCTGAGAAATACTACCTCTAAAGGGAAATTTCCTAGGACTTGCACAAAGCTGATTCCCCTTAGCTTCTGAGGCTGTTGTTATACTGGTGAGGCAGAGTTGGAGCTGACATCCCTGTCCTTTGTCAAGCCAAAGCAAAGCTAATGTCAGGAAGGTGACCTTTAGGTAGCAGGTGGTGCTTGGCAAAGCCAGTCACTACTCTTGTCACTTAGGCTGAACAACCCTTTGAACAATCTTGTAAGCCATTGTCCAAATACAATCGTATCTGATTTTGCTACAATAGGTCACAAAAGCTTGCTGCCTCTTTTCCTGCCTCTACCCATCTCTTCTCCCTCTTCTCATTCTCACCAGAATCCACACCTCTCCACATCCTGAGCTGTCCTGAAAATGGAGCTGTTAGACCATATCATTCCTCTTACTGTTTTGTCCTGATTCTATCCTGCTGTACTTTATGAGAGAAGAGAGAACGTATAGGCATTGAATTGCAAACCCTATGTGAGGCCAGGGGTCTAGTGAACTGAGATTCAAACCAGAAGATGGCAGTAGGACAACAAAACGTTAAATGAGAGCTCCAGGGGGAAAAGATGAGCACAAATAGTCATCTGTCCAGGAGGAAAAAAAAAGTTAAGAATGGAGTTACTTGTCTTTAAGTTTTAATTACTTATTCATTCAACAAATATTTGTTGTACCATTAGTGGGCTACATAAAATATTTGTGAACAATATTTGTGAACAAGACAATAACAACAAAAGTCTTTACTCTCATTCCAATGGGAGAAATCAAACAATAAACAAAGTGAATTCTATAATATGTTGGAAGCTGGAAAAAGAAAAAATAGAGCAGTGTAAGGCAAATCAGGCTCCACTAATGAAGCCATGTTGCAACTTTCAGTGGTTCTGGAATTTGCACAAAGACCAGGAAAAGTGTTCTCAGCAGAGGGAACAGATAGTGCAAAGACTTTAAGGGGTTTTCTGTGGAAGACTGAACATTCCCTACCAATGTGAAAGAAAAAGGTTAGAAGCAGGTCTAACCTGTAGCTGAAATAATTTTAGTTGGATCAAAGAATGGCAGTTATTTGTACATAAATTTTACTAATAAGAACTGAACATTAAAAATGATTATCAAGTCAATTTATTTGGCAATTAATTAATTATTTGGCACTACTTTGTGATGCATATAATTTAAATCCTTGATGTAACTTTTCAGAATGTCTTTTAATGTGTCATCTCTCCTAGCCCTTCAAGGAAAGAGATGCTAGGTCCACCAGCAATACCTGGTGCAGTTCCCTTCCCTGGAGGCTGAAAAGCTGAAGATAGCCCCATCTGGCAGCAAATAGCTTATGATAAAAATATCTCCTGGAGACAGAGATCTGGACTTCATCTCCAGAGTACCCTCCCAGCCCCAAATTCCCACTCGAACTTTCCTGTGGGTTTTCTTTTACCACTTTCTTCCAGGCAGTAACCCGGGCCATGCTAAAGATATACTTAAATGCTTTTCTTTGACCTTGCCAGTTCCTTCCTGTGGCCTAAAACACATGATTGTCTGTGCTGGAGAGAGGGAGCCGGTTGGAAGTGCTGGGCATGCTGATAAAGAAGCGTGTGTTCCTCTGCTTCCTCCCCATCGCCCTGAGGCCCCACGCCTGGGGATCTGGTCCCTTTTCAGGGCTGCCACAGAACAAGAAGTTCAGATGAATTGCTTCCTGGGTTCAAAGCAGTTGCAACCCTTGTGCTGGGGCCCCTCTGACATCGCAGAACTTTATCCCCTCTGCCACTTGGACCAAAACTGCAGTTGTGTGGCTCCAGGCAAAACTCTTTCAAACTAGACAAGAAGAGTCAGACTCCAATAGGGTGCACAGCAGCCCCCCGCCCCTGTGCACAACCATAGCATTGTATGTTCATCTGTCTACTGTCTGGACAGAAACAAGAAAGGGTAATGTTTGGGTTGAGGCTTCAGGGACTCCAGAGAGCCAGTCTGAGTAGTTTAGCAAGCAGTAGACTGTGGTGAAAGAGTACAGTCTTTGGTCTCCTACACAACTGAGTTCAAATCCTACTCACTTTGTAACCATGGTCAAGTTGCCTAACCTTTCTGTCTCAGCATTTTTGTTTATATAAAATAGGGCCTTGCAATACCTACCTGGTTATGAGCATGGGAAAACCCAAATGAAGGAACTGGCACATAGTCAACACGAGATGGAAATAATAAGAAAGAAACAAAAAAAAAAAACACAAACGCCCGCAGCACTTGTTAAATCCTGCTCCTAGGGCAGGGGATACTGCATTCAAAGTTGTGATTATGAACCTGTACTCAGCAAATAAAAATCACTATTAGTTGTATAAACACAGTTTCCATTTTGACTTTCAGGATGTCACGGTACCTCTATATCTAGCATTATCAGTCCTTATATTTGCAGTGTTACACAAACTGTACTATTTTCTTTTATGTGCAGTTTGCATGAGTAAACCATCAGAGAATAAATTCTATCTTTAAATTATGTTTTAAAAAAAACAAAAAACCAAAGTTGTGATTATGGAATGTCTGCAGTCAGTCTTTCTGCCCTTGACTGGGGATTTTCCAAGCCAGTTACCATGGATACCTATCTAATATTTGTATCTTCTATATCTGGAAAGCGGAGCTTAATTTCTATCTGTGTCTTGCAGGCCTTAAAGGTAGGTTATCAAACAAATGTCTTTCTCCTATTGTTAAGTAAAGAATGGAGCTCCTTCAAATGAAAGAATAAATCTCATGTTGATCTTGGTCTTAAAGCTTTCAGAGCTGTTTCGCCAAAGTGGTTGGCATTCTTTCTGCCTGTCTATATCATTGTTCAGTTTTAGGTGAGGGAGAAAGACATATGCAGAATAGAAAGAAGGATGCTAGGCAGTAAGTGTTGTGCTTTGTCTGGCTGTCATGTGTCATCTGTGGAAGCCACTTTCTGGCATTAGTGCCCTCAGCTCTTCAGGGGAGCATCTTGATGAGAGAGCATCAGTAAGCATCTTTCCTGGGTGCTAAGTGTGGGACTTTGGGGTGGTCTTGTCATAGAGGTGCCAAAATAACTTTCCTCTAAAGTATGACAATCTCTTACTTGACAATGAAGTGGTGCTTCAATGTTCTTACTCTCCTGCTCAGGTTTGTCTTGAATGAGCTGGTGCAGACAGAGAAAGACTATGTCAAGGACCTGGGGATTGTGGTAGAGGTGAGTAGCGGGACCAGGTTGGGTCTGCAGTCACCCAGCCAGGAGCTTATTGGACCCTACCAAGACTGAGGTGTTTTAATTTGATGATTCTATGTATTTTACTCTGTTGGGTATTTGCAGAAATAAAAATAAAAATGATAATCGATAAAATAGAATACATAGGCAGTTTTTTTCTTTTCCCCTTGAAATATTTAGTGGAGGTAGGGTCCAAATGTTATAGCTTTTGGGGAAGACTCTTGGTTAGAACTGAATCCATTCCCTTTTGTTTTAGGTAACCAGATTATTGTCTTAAGAGCTTTCCTTTGGTGTTTAACCATGTAGACATATATTCTTCAGAGCTGTGAGCCACCATGGGCCTAAAGCAGGTCACTTTATGTGGAATCCTGGGTTTTATATGTGTCCATAGATTTTAAGGATAGTATGATAGCTACCAAGAAGACAGACAAAGAAAAAAAATCACCAATAAGCAAGATTGACAGATCCACAGTTAAGAGTTAACATGGTAATAAATTAAAAAGCTGTATCTCCATAGGGGTTCACTTAAGAGGGACTTAGACACTTGGATGAAAATGTCTAAGAAAGTAAATAGATAGTTTGGATGACTTTGAACCCTATTTTTAATTGTCTTAAAAGAACATGAAGTCTAATAATTGAATGCCTAATATCTAAATTACTTGCTGGTTCCATACATTTGGCCTATAAGATCCCATCCTGTGCAATCTGCTAATGCAGAGCTTTGTATTTGCTTATCCTAAAGAGACTAACCTGGCGTATAGTGCACTTGCACTTGAATTTATGGAAAGCTATTCTCATTTTTCCAGTGACTGGGGGCTAAAAGAGGTACAGCAATCTCCATATGCAGCTCAGCCTAGGAGTGGAGGACTGGAGACTGGGAGACTGAGATCAGACATCAGTAGTGTGCTTATAAGACGAGTCATCATGTAACACCTGGGTCCCTTGATTTTCTCGTCTGTCGGATGGGGATACATGCTACCTGTACAACCTCAAAAACTGATTTTAAAGCTGAGGTGCAATTATATATGAGTCTAAAGTAATAACATATTAAGACTTATTTCTAAGCCAGGTGTGTCTAGTTCTGAGCCTTTAATGATCTGGCTAACATGGACTGGGAGAAGGGAGAGGGACACATGGTTGTTTTCTTCGGTGTTCTGCTTTCTCAAGGGGACTGGAGACAAAGAAAGGGACCCAGAAACTTCATAAAACTTTTGTCTATCTCTCTGCATGGGGGTAAAGACCTGGTTGAATAGTGAGAAATTACAGAAGCACTTGCCCTCTAACTCATGAAGAGTGTGGGCTCACATGGGTGCTGGTTGTGGGGCTTTGGCCCTGAAGGCTTTCTTGCGAAGTACTCTAGTACCCATTGCCTCTGCCGCTACAGGGCTTCATGAAGAGAATAGAAGAAAAGGGTGTCCCTGAGGACATGCGAGGAAAGGACAAAATCGTGTTTGGAAATATTCACCAGATTTATGACTGGCATAAGGAGTGAGTGTTCATGCTGCCCTGAGAATGGGTTGTCTTCTTCCTACCTCTGACCTAAGGGGTGGGGCTTGGGGGGAAAGTCTTCTGTCATTTATCGCATCATTGAGAAGTAACGCAGTCCTGAATAATGTGGCTTCCTTCTCTTATATTCTTCCTCCCTCTAGTTTTTTCCTAGCCGAACTGGAAAAGTGTATCCAGGAGCAGGACAGATTGGCACAGCTCTTCATTAAGCATGTGAGTGTTTCTCACCACCCCCTTCCCCACCCCTCACTAGACTCATCTTCATTCATTTTTAAACTCCTTTCTTCTACTCTTCCTTGACTAACCTTTCTTCTCGTTCCTCTCTAAGTTTATTTATTTATCTTTAACTATCTTGGCAATTTGGAAGATGGCTCTTGCCTACTACATTTACTTTTTAAATCTCTGATGTTCAGCTACACTGGGCACTTCCTCAAGTGTGGTCCATGCCTCTGTCCTCTGTCCTCATGGAGACAGCACAGCACTCTGAGATTGAATGGAAGGCACACAATACCTGACTGTCCGTATGTGTCTCCCTCTGCTCTTCCAGGAGCGGAAGCTGCACATCTATGTGTGGTACTGCCAGAACAAGCCACGCTCAGAGTACATTGTTGCTGAGTATGATGCCTACTTTGAGGTATGCTGCAGGCTTTGCTGAGTCAGGGTTGGGGGGAAACTTAGGCCAAGACAGGCACTTTTGGAAATGTCAGATGTCATCCATTCACAGGTAATCCCCACACAACACTGTTAACCCCTCCATGGCAGGAACAACTGCCTCAACGGAGCCATTCGCTTCTCACTTGATCTTAGCCAAAAGGCCGAGAAGCGATGCCATTCGCTTCTCAGCTGCATTCTCATGAGCACCTTTGCTTGAGAGGAGCTGGGGTGGCCCAGTCTGGGTTTTGATTTTAAGAAGCCTCCATTTGCAGAACGATCCTGTGATTGTGCTCACATTCTTCTCCCCTCCCCCGCCCCCATCATCTCCCTTGGGACTACTTGCTGAGTTGAGAGGTTTACAATCACTTCCTGGTCTCTACTTGCCCCAGCCTGGAAGGATTTATTTTTCTGGTTGAGAGACAACACCATCACTTGGAAAGAGCCCTCAATGGAGTGTCTGGAGTTTAGGGCCCAGCTCCATAAACTTCTTGTGTCCTAGGAGAAGCCCTTCTTTCTTGATTTTGCCCTGGAGCAGTAGCAAGAACATAATACCCTTTAAGCTTATCTCCCAGGACTACATTGAGGACCAAGACGTGAAAGTACTTGCCATGAAAGTGGTAGAAAGGCAAGCAGGCAATGCTGGTGTGTGCACTATTGTTGTCCATAACAAATGAGCAGTCCTGTAGGCAATGTTGTCTCTCATGTGGTTTGAAGATTTTTAAACTTCATTAGAAGATATGAAGACCTATCTTCTGTGCCTGATCCAGAACACCCAATTCTTCAATTCTTTTTTTCCTAACATAGCTTCCTTGTGTTTCAGGAGGTAAAACAGGAGATAAATCAGAGGCTGACGCTTAGTGACTTCCTTATCAAGCCCATTCAGAGAATAACAAAATACCAGTTGCTCCTCAAGGTAAGAGGCTGGGAGCCTGGGTCAGGGCTAGAGAAGGGTCTCCTTAGGCTTGAGCCGGTGAGCAGTGGAGCTTGAGGTTCTGTCTCCACCACACTCTCCTGAAGGACTGATAACTGGTGGAGCAGGGTGGGGCAGGCCAGTGCAGGCTTTTATCTTATCTGCCCGTTGCTTTGTCAGCTTTGCCCCAGATAAGTTGCATGGTGGTTCCCACCCTTAAAGTCGGTTGTTATTTGATTTTCCTTTTTGAATTCACTTTCTTTGTCACCATCACTGACTTGATACCTTTAAAAAAATAATAAGAAGCCAGGCTCAGTGGCTCAGCCTGTAATCCCACCCCTTTGGGAGGCTGAGGTGAGTGGATTGCCGCGGGTTCGAGACCCGCCTAGGCAGCGAGACCTCATCTCTACAATAAATAAAAAAAAAAAGTCAGCCGGGCGTGGTAGCGTGCGCCTGTAGTTCCAGCTATTCGGAAGGCTGAGGCGCAAGGATCGCCGGAGCCCAGCAGGTCAAGGCTGCGGTGGCCAGGAACGGCCACTGCACTCCAGTCTGGGCGACAGAGTGAGACTCCAACTCAAAAAAAAATAAAACAATAGTAGTAATAATAATAATAATAATAAGCGCGTGAAGCCAGGCTAGAATATGAGAAAGAAAGGAAAAGGCAAGGCTCTAGAAGCCTTAGTAATACCTAAAATTTGATCATATTTTATTTTAATCAATGGCTTAACTTGATCGTCTTTTGGAAATATGAAGTTAAATAGAAAAATTCAGAAGTTTAACTTTCTTTTCTCTCATCCTTTCTTGTCACAATCCCCCTTTCCTTCCTCCTTCCCTCTCTCCCCCATAGCTTTGAAACTGAATATTTAGGAAGTTTTCTCTAACTTGTTATGTCTAACATGACTCATAATTTTGCTTCTCAGCTACTACAAACCCTTGCCATCTCTGCCGGGAAGAAAAGTCTCCAGGGTGTTAACGCATTTTCATGATAAGTTTTTTTTATAGCCCTCTGACTGTTTTACTAACTAATTTCATTCATTCCCACACCCTTCCCTGCTTCCCCACTTGCTAGGACTTCCTGAGATACAGTGAGAAGGCTGGTTTGGAGTGTTCAGATATCGAGGTGAGTTTTCTGCTTGGAATGCTTAGGAACCACACTGGGCATCTGTCTCTAAAGGGGGGAAGACTGTTTCGGAGGACCAAGGATCCAAACCAACTCTTCCCATCCACGAAGAGGCTCTTGCAAACAGCTACTCAGCAGGCTGAGGAATGGCAGGTGCTAATGAACACAGGGTTCTAGAACTCCTAGAACTTGAGAATTCTATCCTGGGCCAGGCTAGAGCTTAGCCACCCTGGTGTTCTTGTGACTCCTGGTGACATGTAGTGAGAAAGGATGATATGTGACCCCTTTAATGGCCTTCAGAGACTGGATGTAAATTGCATAGAGACTCAATATGCAATTTTATCCATGAAACCAAGCACTATTTGAGCCTAACATGTAAAATATTCCATTTTCACCACCTGTCTTCCGCCCTGAGGATTACTCCCTAAGTGAAGTCCTTTGAGGCAGTGTCACCATGGGGATTATTTTAAGCCAGAGAGGTTACAAACCACTCCAGCAGATTATTTTAGGTTAAAACCTCTGTGTTTTACAACCCAGGCTAAGCTGCTGCTTGGGTAGCCAGGAAGCAACAGAGAAAAGAAAGAAAATAAGAGAAGGAAAGGGAATTGATAAGCAAAAGCGGGAAAGTAGAAAGGATGGGCTGAGTATCATTCTCCCCACATATGATCACTGACTGACATGAAGCCCCTGGACTGAGGACCAATATCCCATCTAGATCTAAAACCCCACACTCCCCAGGAGTGGATGGCAGGAATCAGTGTCCTTTTCCTAGAATAAAGAAGCTACTAGAGATGAGGTCTTCTGGAACCAAATTGCCAAGCACTTCCTGCCTGAGTGCTATTCCCATCCTGAACAATGATTGTTCTTTCCCACAGAAAGCAGTGGAGTTAATGTGCCTTGTTCCCAAACGTTGCAATGACATGATGAATCTAGGACGCCTGCAGGGCTTTGAGGTGAGTCCTTTTCCTTTTTTTTTTAATAACTGCTTTATTGAGTTATAATTGATATACAATTCGCCCTTTAAAAGTGTACAATTTAGTGGTTTTTAGTATATTTACAGAATTGTGCAAACATCACCATTATCAAATTTTAGAATATTTTTATCACCCCAAACAAGTATACATTAACACTCAGCCCTTATTCCATCCTCTGAAAACCACTGATCTACCTTTATTTATATCTATATCCATGTCTATATTTATATCTATATATCTATAATTTGCTTATTTGTGAATTTTCTTATAAATAGGATCATACAATATATGACCTTCTGTGATTGCCTTCATTCTCTAAACATAACATTTTCAAGGTTCATTTATCTTGTAGTATTTATCAGTACTTAATTCCATTTTATTGCTGAATCATATTCTGTTGTATAGATACACCACATTTTGTCCTTCCATTTGTCAGTTGGTGAACATGTCTGTTGTTTCAACCCTTTGATTATTATAAAAAATGTTGCTATGGATATTTGCGTACAGTTCTTTGAGAAGACATATGTTTTCAATTTTCTTGGGTAAATCCCTAGGAGTAGGATTGCTGAATCATATAGTAACTCTAAGTTTAGCATTTTGAAAATTTGCCAAACAGTTTCCAGAGAGGTGGCAATATTTTTACATTTTAACCCAAAGTATATGAGGGTTCCAATTTCTTCATCATCACATGATGTTCTCTCTCTTTTTGATTTTAGCTATCATAGTAGGTGTGAAGTGGTAGCTCATTGTGATTTTTATTTGCATTTCTCTAATGATGTTGAGTTTATTTGCATGTACTTATTAAAAATTATTTTCTTTGAAAAAATATCTATTCATGTTTTTGACCACTTAAAATTGATTTTTCTATCTTTTTATTGAGTTGTGAATGTTCTATCTATATTCTAAACAAGTCGTTTATTAGATCTATGATTTGAAAATATCTTCTCCCATTCTGTGGGTTAATTGCCATCCTTACTGGAATTAGCATTAACCATAGAAACACAAGGGAAGTATTGGCAGTAGCAGAGGGCGAGAGCACGTGGCGACATAATGGGTACCCGGTCCTAAACCAGGGGAAGTGAGGACTGGTTGGAGGCCCACACTTCATCTGCATGTAGATTACTTATGTACCTAATCCTGACTTGTACCCCGCGTTTCTATAATAAAATAAAGTTAAAAAAAAATAGACCATTGCTTCTCTTAAGCTCTGGCCTGGCCGTGCTTCCATTGAGCTATGGCTGGGTCATGCTTCTCTTTAAGCTCTAGGACCCTCCCCAATCTGGGGGAGGCGGGTCCCCCTTTTCTCTCTTTCTTCAATCTGCTTTCTAAATAAACTCTATTTTTCAATTTAATAAATTAATTAATTAATAGAAAGAAGAGGAGTCCTCAAGAATACTTCTAAAGGTCAGTCACAGTGGCTCATGCCTGTAATTCCAGCATTTTGGGAGGCTGAAGTGGGAAGATCTGTTGAGCCCATGAGTTAGAGACCAGCCTGTCTTCACCAAAGTGAAAATAAAAAGAATGCTTCTGAGCCCTCTCTTTTCTGGGCACAGGAGTCGAGGCTGTCGTGGCCTCTTCCCTTGGAAGCCCTGTGCCCTGCCTCCTTCTCTTGCCACCATGCCTTTGTGCCTGGGGCCCTTAGTTCACAGGCCTGGAAGGTGCCTCTATTTAGGAAGCCTAGCAATAAAGCAGTCATAGGACACTACGGAGCAGTCAGCCAACCTGGAGTTGGAATTCTAAGGGACTTGGAAGGATCCAAAGTTCCCTGTAACTGTTTGGACCTGGAAGTGACCTCTTCCTTTTCATTCTTAAATGAGAGATGCTGGGAGCGTGAGGAACAGCAGGACTGCATGATGAAAGTGGAGCCTTAGCAGGAGAATGGAACACTGTTTCTTCGTGGATTTTTTTTTCTTTTTTTGAGAGGGTGATTCTAATAAACAGACTATGTAGCGACTGGCTTTTTAGTTAAATGAATGATTAAAGCTCTAAAACATCATAGTACATATTTCTGTTCTCTGAAGAGGGGAATCGAGACTTAAGGGAAATTGCTGGATGTCTCAAGGCTTGGGGATGAAGTGAATATACTTGTTTGCTAGCACTGCCATGTCAGAGCACCATAAATTGGGTGCTTAAACAACAGAAATGTGTTGTCTCACATTTCTGGAGGCTGAAAGTGTAAAATCAAGGTGTTTTCAGGATGGTTCTATCTGAGGACTGTGAGGCAGGGCCTGTTTCAAGCCTTTCTCCTTGGCCTATAAATGACTGTCTTATTGTTCACATGACATCAACCTGTATTTTCTCACTAACTTCCCTCTGTATGTATCTGTATGTATGTATGTGTATGTGAGTGAGTGTGTTTATGTATTTCTGTAGCCAAACTTTCCCTTTTTTATAAGGACATCTATTATATTCAAGTTCCCTTTAACTTGATTACCTCTGTAAAAACCTTATCTCCCAATAAAGTCATATTCTGAGGTACTGGGAGTTAGGACTTCAACATATGAATTGTTAAGGGACAGGGAAAGGGGCAGCACAATTTAATCCATAACAGTGGGCCTTTGAAGAGAAAATTGGATTTCTAATTTAAACTTAATAAATGCCTGTCATTAGTTTATAGTCAAACCTCATACATTAACTAAATATAAGGTCTTAAAAATTAATGTGATAGAAGAAGAACTGGCACAGTTATTGACTGGTGCCTAATAGTTGTTGATTCCTTTGGAGAAAGATTTGGATCTTCTTAATCATGTTTCCCAGTAATCTACAACCTAAGATTTTATTATTTCTTTTTGGGGAAAAGGGATTCCCAGAAGTTGAGATAATTAAGAAAGAAAGGCTTTTTTTTTTTTTTTTTTTTCCTGGCCAAATCAGAATAGAATAGACTAAGACAGACTGTTGGTATGAGTAAATTTAGGAGATGGTATATTCAGGTTTGGGTTAATGAGTTAGATTCATGACATTCTTGAGCCAAATTATCTTGTCCTCTTTGCCCTCCCAGCTCATCCTGTGAATTATGGGCCCAGATCATACTTTATATGAATTCCAACTTTGTAGTTTTCCTATCTGGTTTCCATGCTTTGTTGTGGTTTCCATGCTTTGTTGTGACAGGAACTATGCGGGGGGTCTTCTTGGCTGTTCATTTTTCATAGATTCCTGGTTCTCCAAGGTAGACCTGAGGCATTAGCGTAAATAAGCAGTGTTACTCAGCAGAAACACCCTAGAGTTCTTAACAGTTTTTCTTTAGTCATACAGGATGGAGTTTTACACTTTTCCCCTTGACGTTATGCTGGGTCTGAGGCTATTCTGAACAAACCAAGTAATCCCTTTTGCTCTTCAACCTTGAAGTCCCTTTGTTTTCTGGACAGAAATCTGGCTTGGCTTTTTCTGGGTCTCTGGAGGAAACAATCACTAACAGGAGGAATGATATCTAATTGTGCTGCCTGATCCAAACTAGACTTCACAGGAACCATGTTGTACATGTGTCTGTGTCCATATAAGGCCACACATGAACATGGATTCTCCTATTTTCATCAAGCCACAGAGAATCTGCTTTGCATTTCTTGAGCTATTTGGAGAATAGTGAGCATTTGTCTGTTCCCTAAGTCCACAGCTTTGGACCCAGGAGAATTTAGAGCCTTCTCGTTTTAATTCCCTCATTTCAAACCCTCTGGCGTTCCCTTCAGTGCTGGCCAGGCGATAACCCATGATCAAGTTCTCATGTAATATTAATAGAGCTTTTAGAACTTTCCTGGCTAACTGGTCAAATTAGCTTAATATTAACTCTGGACCAGGGTAGAGATAAGCCTGTTTGGCTGCTGACCCTGGCAGTAAGGAGCCATGATACAAGCAGAGAGCAAGTGTTTCTCGGGACCACAAGAGAAAAATGACCCTTCTACTGGGTAATGTTTGGAATAAGGCATCATGTGAAGGGAATGGCCACATTTGCACGAAAGGACAAAAGCCATTACCTGAGCAAGAACACCTGCATTTCAGAGGAGGCCCTCTGATCACTAGCTCAGATGTGAGAGTCTTCTTGTTGCAGAGCAATAGAAAAAGCAAGCCTCTCTGACATACACTGTGAGGGCTTGCTGAGTTGGGCCGGCCATATTTCCTTTGAAGATGTGAAGTTATCTTTCAAAATCTTATTAGAAACTTGCAGACCACATGGGTTCATCTCCTCATCTGGGTGTCAGGTGGCTTGGTAGATGGAGTCATCTAAAGAAGGATCATGGGACCCAGAAAATATCAACCAGCTTGTAAAATATGGGGACTGGCTGGGCTTGGTGACTCAGCCTGCAATCCCAGCACTTTGGGAGGCTGAGGCAAGAGGATTGCCTGAGCCCACGGGTTTGAGACCTGCCCGGGCAACTTGGCGAGACTTCGTCTCTACAATAAATCAAAAAAACTAGCCAGGCGTGGTAGCATGTGCCTGTAGTTTCAGCAACTTGGAAGGCTGAGGCAGAAGGATCGCTGGAGCCCAGCAGGTCGAGGCTGCGGTGGCCGGGAGTGGCCACTGCACTCCAGTCTGGGTGACAGAGTGAGACTCCAACTCAAAAAATAAAAATAAGAAAATATGGGGATCTATCTGTGACACCTCCTACTTCACCTCTTGACCTGTAGCCAGACACTAATTCAGGATTTGCCCATTCTTAACTAAAGGAGAAGAGAGGGTCCTGACTTACCAGAGTATTTGTAGTCTGTTTGGCAACTTCGTCACTTCCCTTGGCCACAGGTGAGTTACAGGTTCATGGCCATGAGAGTGCCCTAGGTCCTTGACCCAAAGGAGCCAGGCAGGCATGGCTCTCAGAGCTCTAAGGACAGAAAGGCCACTTTTAGCTCCAAGTGTCACCTACTTTCTGTTCTCTTTTTAATAAAAAATAAGGGGACCCAGAATAATTACTTTTCAGCTAATAATTTTACCTTCCTTCTGGCATTTGCCTGGAACTATTTCTTAGTGGTCCCACGGCTTCCTTTCCCTTTCCCTCCAGGGCCCTTGTGTGAGCAGGAAAGTGGCCACAGTCTCCCCCTGGAGGAAGGAGTGGGTTCTAGTTCAGTCTCTTACTAGAGCCCTGAGGCTTTTGGCACCAAGTCTGTTGTCCATGACCCCTGAGGGGGAGGTTCTATGGACCAAGAGGGCAGTGGCTATCTCTCCCCCCATCTTCATTCGCTTCACCCCAACCCCTCTTTCCATCAGGGCACCCTGACTGCTCAGGGGAAGCTGTTGCAGCAGGACACGTTCTATGTGATCGAGCTGGATGCAGGCATGCAGTCCCGGACCAAGGAGAGACGCGTGTTCCTCTTTGAGCAGATTGTGATCTTCAGTGAACTGCTCAGGAAGGGATCCCTCACTCCAGGCTACATGTTCAAAAGGAGCATCAAGGTGAGAATCCCCATGTGGATGAGAAGGGGAAAGGAAGACCCCAGTGTTTGGGAGCTGCTTCCCTAAGAGGAGGTACTGGAGTGATGAGGACCCAGAACCTTGAAGATCTTTCAGCCCAATAATCTTCCACTGTGGTTATCTATGAGAAAAAGTGACAGACTGAGTGCTGAAGTCCAGCATAATCTTGTAGGTTCCCTGGGATCATGTCACTTACAGAGACGGAAACCAGAGTATTGACTTGCTAGATCTAGGGCAAAATTCGAAGCCTTCTCCTGAAATAAAAATTCAGGATATGGGGCACGGTGGCTTATGCCTGTAATCCCAGCACTTTAGGAGGCAGAACAAGAGAATTGCCTAAGCCTAAGGATTCCAAACCAGCCTACCTAGGCAACTTGGTAAGACCTTGTCTCTACAATAAATAAAAAAATTAAGCCGGGCTCAGTGGCTCAGCCTGTAATCCCGCACCTTGGGAGGCTGAAGTGAGTGAATTGCCTGAGCCCGCGGGTTTGAGACCCGCCCGGGCAACTTGGTGAGACCTCATCTCTACAATAATTCAAAATTAGCCAGGCGTGGTAACACGCACCTGTAGTTCCAGCTACTTGGAAGGCTGAGGCGGAAGGATCGCCGGAGCCCAGCAGGTAGAGGCTGCGGTGGCCGGGAGCGGCCACTGCACTCCGGTCTGGGCGACAGAGTGAGACTCCAACTCAAGAAATAAATAAATAAAAATAAATAAATAAATAAATAATCCTGGCATGGTTGTGCAGCTGTCTTGTCTGTAGTCCCAACTACTTGGAAGCCTGAAGTGAAAAGATTGCCTGAGCCCAGCAGGTCGATACTGCAGTAGCAGTGAGCATGCCACTGCGCTCCACCATGGGCAACAGAGTGAGACTCTGACTCAAACAAACAAACAAAAAAATTTAGGGACAATTGTATGTTGTTGGTTTTCTAAAATTTCTTCAATATGAAAGGATTAACTTGTTTTCTTCCAGATGAACTACTTGGTCCTGGAGGAGAATGTGGACAATGACCCCTGCAAGTTTGCGCTCATGAATAGAGAGACTTCTGAGAGGGTCATTCTGCAAGCCGCCAATGCTGACATCCAGCAGGCCTGGGTGCAGGACATCAACCAAGTCTTAGAAACACAGCGAGACTTCCTAAATGGTGGGTACCGGGCTTGATTTTTAGCAGGGCCACACCTCAGAGCTTCCTCAGGTCTGGGCTCATGGCAAATTATGAACCCAGATCATATTTTATATGAACTCCAACTTCGTAGTTTTCAGGAACATGATAGAATTCTTCAGAATCTGAATATACAAGTAGAGCAGGTGGGGAATGAAAAGCAACCCCATCTTCCCAATAGAAGGGATTTCTCTTACAGGACTTATGTAAGAGAAATCCCTTACATAAGTCCTGTATGTGGCCACCACTACTAGCTGGTAAGGATTTAGGCAAAAGTCTGAGATAGATACATCCCTCTTGGGGGCCAGTTGTCAATGACATGTGATTTTCACCTCCTCACAGGTCCTCTAGTGCTATCCAGAGATAAGCAGGAATCTTGCAGATCAGTTCAGATCCCTCCTCTGCTCCCAACAGTGTGAAAGCCTGGAAAAGCCACTTTGCTAGCAGACCTTACCCCTTTTAAATAGGAGGTGATTGCTAACTCTGAATGTCAGTATTACCTGAAAACTTCCTGGAACAAATTGGTAATTACACAGAGAACCTAGCTCTTTGGGGCCCCTGCAGGAGTCCCCTAGTCTAGGGTGCGGTGAACTGGAGTGAGATGAAGTTATTACCTTGTTTATGTTTCTTTATTTTTGCCCCTGCTGGGATTTTCTTCACACTGAGCTTGGCATGTGAAAGGAGTGTGTACAGTTTTAAACAAGTGGTGATCTGTTGAGTTTGTGAACTCAAAAATCTTTTGAGCAAAAATGGAACATGAAGGCAGAATGGAACCAGTAATGAAGGAAACCTAGAGACTAAGCAAGCACATACACACAAATATGTGCAGAGTACCCCCCTGGGTATACCACCTCTTCTTGACTGTCCTGAGATCTATACTGTACAGTCATATGGGCTCACACATGTATACACACATATGCAGGCCCACCCTCAGGTGTGTTACCTCTAGGATAGGGACTCTTTCAGAGATGCAAATACAGCATTTTCTGGGTATATGTAATGAAACTGAATGCTGCTAGTAAAGATAAAAGGTGACATGCTCTGTGGGAACCTGAGGCAGGTCATGACATTTCTCTGAGCCTCACATGGCTCGTTCTGTGAAGAGGAGAGTGGGTAGATCTACTCTGCCCATACTGGCTTGTTCTGTGGTGTGCCAACTGTCCTAGAAGCAGGAAAACATGGTATGCCTTCCCACAATATCATTTTTACTATATGATAAGGGATTTAGCACAATATTTTTATTTTAAGACAAAAAGAGATCATGTAGCAGAATGCCATGACTTTAAGGTAGAAAATAAAGCTTTAAGCTTGGTGGCTCAGCCTGTAATTCCAGCACTATGGGAGGCCGAGGCGAGTGGATTGCCTGAGCCCACGGGTTTGAGACCAGCCTGAACAACTTAGTGAGACCTCGCCTCTACAATAAATCAAAAAATTAGCCAGGCGTGGTAGTGCATGCCTGTAGTTCTGTCTACTTGGAAGGCTCAGGTGGAAGGATCACCGGAGCCCAACAGGTCGATGCTGGGGTGGCCATGAGTGTGCCACTGTACTCCAGCCTGGGCAACGGAGTGAGACTGCAACTCAAAAGAAAAAAAGAAAGAAAGAAAGAAAGGAAATGAAGCTTCACAGCAGTTTTGCACTTACAGAGAATATTTTTGGCCCAAACCCCTACTCTCCAACTGTAAAAAAGTTTAGTGGGAAAAAAAAAAACTAGACTAACGTGTTCTTTTTTATTCTAAAAAGTCTAAAATTAAATACCAGCCTAGCCTTGAAGGATGGTAATGAAAATTTACACACCTTATGATTTCTAAATATATAACTTTGGTTTAGGAGTTTTGTTGATAAAATAATTTATGCAAAAATATGTGCATATATAAAGTACATCCATTTGAATTATAGTCTATTAATTAGGAATTTCTGATAGATTCTAAGCTGGAATGAGGATTTTTAAGTTCACCAGTTCAGGAAAAAAAATAATAATAAGATACAACAATAAGTTGAAACCAGAAATTACTGAAGTAACAATAATGGCCCCACATTTATTGAGTCCTTACTTGTGTCAGGCACTGTGCTAAGCATTTCACATGATCTTTCACATTTAGTCCTCACATCAACATGGAAAGGTAAGAACTATCATGCTACCTCTTTCAGGTGTGAAAAAGGAGATTCAGAGGTTAAGAAACTGTCCAAGGCTACAAGAACAATAGCTGATAGAACAGGGACTTGAACCTAGAGCTATAGGACTTCAAAGTGGGCTCTTAACCACAAAACTGCAATGTAATTGCTAGTGGTAGGGCACACATGTATCTATGAGCTCCCTAGCAAACAAAGCAAAGAAAGAAACAGGATCAAGCATGTACGTCTATACCCATGAACCAAAAGCGAATGCTGTCAGAGATATACCGCTTTCCTGATCCTAAGACCTAAGTTTTGCAGACTGAGGCTAGTGAAAGAATACAGGCTCTCTATGTAGCTTATTTAAGAAGGCATACTTTTAAAAAAGTTCTCTGGGCCCCAGCTGTTAACCCATTTAAATAGTTGTTACAGTGAATACTGATAAAAATGACATAATTGGACCTCCATTGAAGACATTCTTGAAGAATCTGACTTGTATGGCGTTTTCCTGGCTATCCCTCTTTAGTACTCAGACCTTGCACCTTTGTTACCTTAAACTCAGTAAAACAAATTTCAAGTCTTTCCAAACTTCAAGTCAGCTTGTTCTCCTCTCTTCTGATTTCATTGACTGCCACCCTCCTAGTCTCCAAACCTTTGATTTGTGTGTTGTTCTTCCCATGGAGGCTGTCAGAGTCTCATCTCCCTCCAGGCTTGCCACACACATGTCCATCTCACAGGGCCCCTGGTCCTGCTCTCGTTAGATCCTCTGCCTCTTGTTTATTACCATCCCATGGCTTCTGAATTAAACAAGAAGTCTTTGTCTCTTTCTCTCTCTCTAATCCCTCCTCCTAACCTCTATAAGGTTAATGCTTCTCAAATGTGGCTCTGATAATAGAATCTGAATTTAAAACTTGAAAGTTCATTTAATGCAGTTACTTTTCATGACCTTCAGAATTAAGTCCAGACTCACTGACCTGGCTTTCTAGGTCTTTCATACCATGGCACTTCCAACCTCCCTTACCTGTCTCATTTCTTCTTCCTCCATGGAGGTCCATGACCCTAGGCTTCAGGTCATCTGACTACTTCCTGTTCCCCAAACACATGCCAGGCTTACTTCCTTCCTGCAGTCCAAATATCAGCCTGACAGCAGACCTCTTCTGAAGCCCTTTATTATCACTAAACACACATGTATACTTGCTCACACACATAGCACAAAGCCTTCCCTCCTTTTGTGCAACACTTTACACCTCACATAAAGCACCATTTTGATTTTGTATTGTCATCATTTAGGTAGGTGTCTTGGTTCTCACATTTCCTTAAAAACAAGGGGTTGAAGACCAGGTGCAGTGGCTCATGCCTATAATCCCAGCTCTTTGGGAGGTCAAGGCGGGAGGATTGTCTAAGCCCATAAGTTCGAGACCAGCCTGGCCAACTTGGCAAGACCTCATCTCTACAATAAATCAAAAAATTAGCCAGGCATGGTGGCATGTGCCTGTAGTTCCAGCTACTTGGAAGGCTGAGGCAGAAGGATCGCCTGAGCCTACCAGGTCAAGGGTGGCTATGAGTGTGTCACTGCACTCCAACCTGGGTGACAGAGTGAGACTTCAACTCAAAAACAAACAAACAAAAAACAAGGGGACAATCTTCTTCACATATCCACATATACACACTATGCCAAGCACAAAGCCTTGTGGGATTCCCACAGCTTAGAGTAACCACCTGTTCTCATCTGTAGCACTACAGTCGCCCATTGAGTATCAGCGAAAAGAAAGGAGCACGGCCGTGATGAGGTCTCAACCAGCTAGGGTTCCTCAAGCCAGCCCTAGGCCCTACTCCTCTGTCCCCGTGGGCTCTGAGAAGCCCCCAAAGGGCTCCAACTATAACCCGCCTCTGCCACCCCTGAAGATATCTACCTCCAATGGCAGTCCAGGGTTTGACTACCACCAAACTGGGGACAAGTTCGAAGCCAGCAAGGTAAGTGACAACTCATTACTCCCACCATTCCACTGTGAGGGCACAACCTCAGAAGTTACCTTAGGATGTAGCGTCTTTTTGTGCTAATTATTTTAGCAGGAACAGCCCACTACATACAGTCCAATCTCAATTACTTCTCTTTCTTTCCCTGTTTATTGAATGAATTAAACCAGTTCCCTCTGGCACAGACACTCTGTGTTAAGGAGCTCTTATCATCTACAGAAACTCTAGACAAATATAAAGTATTATTGTGACGGCAATCATGACAAAGTGTGATTTATACCAAACAGTAGTTTTAGTGTAGATCATCTAAAAGTGACAACTCTAGTGTTTGATGACTTCAGAAGAGATCACCTTTTCTAATGATACTCACTCTGCCTTAAGTATCATTGGAGTAAGTTCACAGTTCTTCACCATCTTCTGCTGGTGTGGCAGGGGAAGTTGATCAATAATGTATGCCAGCGGGAAGCCAGGCTTGGATGAAATGTGTATCATAATCCACAGTTCACACATCGCCATGAGGAGAGTCATAGACTTAACCACAGGCCTAGTTTACACAGCTATTTTGATCATACAAGGGAATGAGAACAAGAGAGAAATAGAAAAAGTGCTAGATTAGGAATCAAGTGATCCAGTTTCTATTCCAAATTCTACAACTCACTTGCTCTGAAACCTTACTTAATCTCATTAGGCCTTAATTAGTTACTTAACCTCATTAGGCTTCAGTTTCCTCTAGAACTCAGCGGGCCTATGAATTTTGATCTACGTGTTTCAATTTTATAGTTGTATTGTTTTTCCCAAATTATTGATACTGATTTTGTTAAAAAATTAATTATTAATGTCCAAGTTCAATTCTTGTCAGAGTAACTATACCAGCCTATTGCACCACCTTAAAAATCACCTGAAAATGATTTTCCACCTTAAAAATTCTCTGCCTTTGTGAATAAGTTGAATTCATTTTGACATTCTGTCAAACATATTGAAGAATTTCTGGCTCTCACCATGTTCTGTGAGGCAGCCAGGCCTCCCTGGGAGTCACAGGTCTGTCAAGAAGCAGTTGCCCTGGTATAGATTTAACATTGAAAAGGTCATAAGCAGCACCTCATGTATTCATGAATAGGGGGAGGGCCAAGCGTGGTGGTTCATGCCTGTAATCCCAGCACTTTGGGAGGCCAAGATGGGAGGATCATGAGACCAACCTGGCAGCATAGTGAGACGCCATCTCTACAAAAAATAAAAACATGTAGCCAGGTGTGGTGGTATGCACCTGTAGTCCCAGTTACTCAGAAAACTGAGGCAGATGGATCATCTGAGCACAGGAGATTGAGGCTGTGGTAAACCATGATCATGCCACTGTATTCCAGCCTGGGTAACACAGTGAGACTCTGACTCAAAAAAAAAAAAAATTAATAGGGGAGGGGACTTTCTGTTCTTGCAGGGAGTTGTAAAGCATAGGTTATGACCTTGCCTTCAGATCAGGCAATGGTATCATTCTTACCCCTGTCTCAAGGAAGGTCAGAATAAAGAAAAAAGCCAATTCTTTTTCAAAAAGAAATTTAGTATCAAAGGTCCGTGTTCTTTCCACTGAAGGATTGTAACCCTTGATGTGACCCTTGCCCTGACCTCACTCTGCCCAGGTGCTTACATATTCCTGTGCCAGTGCCATTTGTTAGAGGATGCTGGTAGGAAGGTTGCATGCTAGGAGGGAGCTTCCAGATTAAAGATGTATTTATACCATTACCTGGGCTGGAGCTGGACACTGTGTCTACCTATTTACCCTTGATTATAATATTGTATAAAACATTGCTATGAAAAATACACTTTCAGAGGACATTTATAAATATAATATCCTTACTCAGGAGAGTATTCTGCCTGCTGCTTGCCCTGCTAGTGGAAGATCTGACCCTTACCCACACAGTAGGGTACAGGACCAGCCCGTGTGTACCAGCCTCCTGTGTTTGTGTCCTTCTCATCCTTGTCTCCTAGCAGAACGACCTGGGAGGCTGCAATGGGACCTCGTCCATGGCCGTGATCAAAGATTACTATGCACTGAAGGAGAACGAAATCTGTGTGAGCCAAGGTGAGGTGGTCCAGGTCCTCGCCGTCAACCAGCAGAACATGTGCCTGGTGTACCAGCCTGCCAGTGACCACTCCCCTGCTGCGGAGGGCTGGGTCCCAGGCAGTATCCTGGCACCCCTCACCAAAGCCACGGCAGCAGCAGCAGCAGAAAATAGTGACGGGAGCATCAAGTAAGTGCCTCGCTGGCTTCCCTGGGAGAGCTGTATGTGGATTAAAAAAATTCAGAAACAAACAAAAGAACACAAAAATGCAAACACATGGTAGGGAATTACTGCTGCTTATTCGCGACAGTGCCACTGGAACCAATGTTTGAGTCCTGGAACCACACACAGCATGAGGGCGTCCAGGCTGGATTGTTCCGGGTGTTTTTTGTTGGTGGTGGCGGTGGTTTTTCCTTCTCGTTTATAATTTTCTGTTCATTTTTCCTTCTTTTTTTCCCCCCACTCATTAAGAAAAGAACCCTACTGAAACCCTAGGTGACAAAAGGCATGCCTCCTGTTGCTACACTTGACCCACCACAGGACTCACTGGACTGGACTTCTATTTATATTGTATTAAGTTACTGATATATATATATTTTTTTGATTGACACCAAAAAATTACCTTAGCACAAATGCCAGACCTGTAAAGGTCACAGGCCTGCTGCTTTCTCCCAGGAGAGAGGGAACTTTTTGGTTGTCTGTGGCAATTCCTCTGTATAGATTGTAACTTTTTTTTTTAATTTACCCCTTCCCTGTCACTTTAATATATGTTCATGGTAATTTGTAAGATATTTCTTTTCCTTATTTTGGTTGCGAAGACCCTTCCGAACACATTCCTGTATAAAGTATTTTGCACTATTTAAAGAAACCCATACGGATGAAGTCAGGTTGTGCAATATAATGGAGAGTCACAATGCTCATCATTGTACCTGTAATGTAACTAATAATTTTAAATGTACTATTTTAAATATGTAAAATAAATTTTCACCATGAGCATGTTTTAATGAGGTGAAAGACTAGTTGACCCTTTTTCCCCCATCTATTCTTAGACTTTCAAATGTGCAAATGATTCTTCTTCCTGGGTATTTTTTTTTTTTTTCTTTTTCTTTTCTGTATTCTAGGAATTGGTTGAATGCATTGGCAGTATTTTCCCCCCACACAAAAAGTGGCTTTGTCATGAAAGCGCCCATCCTAGCCTTCCTTTCTAAATGCTGGTTTTCCCTAACTGAGTTGAGGAATGGTACAGACTGAGTGCTGTGTAGTGGATCCCAGCACCTGGGCACCCCTGAGGTGCTGATGTCAATGAATACCTGGGGTAAAAGGTGCTGTTTGGCTGGCATCCCCCACTGCTTTCCATGCTGCGATGTCATCCGTGACAAGGGTGGAGGGTCTCCTGGGAGCTGTGTGAGCAGCAGCACCAGCAGAACTGCGCCACTTTGGCCCTCTCCCAAGGTCAGGGGATAGCAACTACTGACATCACCCTGGTCTTGCTAGCTAACTACAGGTCCAACCAGAATTCAGCAATGACCCCGAAGGTGCTATAGGCCCAATGCATTTTACTCTAAGGGTACTTGTTTTGGGTGCCTTTTAAGAAGACTTGGGAATAAAAGCCCTCAATGCACCAAAGTTTTTATCAATCAGGGGCCTTGCAGAGCTAACTCTTGATGACTTATGTTCCAAATATCCAGGCAGTAAGCACTTCTTCCTCCTCTCACTTAGTTTTTTTGGTCACTCATTCACACCTTCCATGGCAGGGAAGTTAGGAAGGGTCTCAGACTGGGTGAGAGAGAATAGATTGAAATAAAAATTCGTCATTTTGGTTTCTTGTCAGCTGTTCTTGCACACAGGTTGGAGGGGGCATATAGAGAGGAGCAATTGACTAAAAGTGGTTGTCAGTGAAGCACACTCACCACACCTCCCCAGGGCCTGCTATGACTACAGGGGCAAAGTTGGTTGTGATGCCTATGGGATAAATGTCACTGAAACCCTGTGTCCACATCAGTCCCCCGGCTTGCAACCAAGAGATGGAAGCTCCCCAACCATGATGATGAGTTCTTCTGGGAAGAAGAATCTGAAACCAAGCCTGTTCTGCCACTTGTGCTACTCTGAGTCTTCCTTCTGAACATTATTTTAAACATTTCTAGTTTCTTACCAAGCATACTGGATTACCCAGAGAGTGGTAATAACTTAGGAATACACCCCCACATGGACACATACATATGTACTGTGCTGACTGCCCTGGGAGTCTTTTCAGCAGGGACCTCCCTGACTCGAAAAGTTCTCAGAAAGAGCCAGGGATGTGGATTTGGGAGTAACAATATGAAAGCCTGAAGTCAACATGCAGGTATCCTCCAAGGTTAGCTTCCATGACTGGTTCTCACTTAGAGACAATGGTCAGAGCAAGGTCCTGGTAGACAGAGGATCATACAGAGCCTGCCTACATAGGAGGTAAAGAGGAAGACTGGCTTTTTGAAGAAGCCCACTTTCCCCAAAGATTCAAGAACATGATTGTGATCACTTGTTCCTGCTCAGGTTAATTGCCTGTGTGTTAAGTGATAAGAATTTTTAGAACACCTTCCTTAGGATATCCTCAAATCCTGATGTATCTTCCTTCCTCCTTGATCTCCTATGCTCTCTCCCTTAATGAAGGCTCTTCTCAAGGAGCCCTGCCCACATGGGCCCACAGCTGACAAGGAGACACTGAAGGGAAATCATTTGTCACTTATTCCAAACAAGGTTTAGAACTTTGTCCACACTCTGTGACCACACCTGAAATTGACCTGATGCCTACTCAGGATCACTGATAGACTTTGTGAGTTGACTTTTGGTGTCTTTGCCTTTGAGTCCTAATTTGTGGAACATAAGAGCTCTGTTCTGAACTTCTCTTTAGAGGTCTGTGAAGAAGTAGCTCCCAAACCTCTTATGGGAAGAAAGAAGTTAGGATGGTATGAAAGGCTTTTGCCACTCTCACCTCCTTGAGAGCACACACTAGGTCTTGTCCCAACAGGAAAACTCTAGGACCTCATAGTGACAGACAAAGCCCTATATTCACAAACACTGAGTGATGTGGGGGACATCAACTGAGAAACCCTTTGCCCTAAAATATACAGATAAGTGAGTGGTGCTCAACTGTTATATTAAGTCAAATACCACAGAAAATCCTGCCTGTTCTCCAGTGTTTGAGAGTGTCCATGCCCCAAAACAAAAAATGAGATGAAATTCTCAAAACCATCCTCTTAGGTCTTTATATCTGACCCTGGGAAAGTACCAGTAGGGTATGCACTATAGAATATACTTTCCTATTCTATCTTTCACTCCCCACTCTTCCCCATCCACCATCCCCCTTACGAGAAGAATTCCTCAGTCCTATAAGCCATCATCAATATGGTATAAAAACCTCCCATGGTAGAGTTTAGTAACCTAGCACTCATATTTTCTCAAATGCTGCAGTCAACCTTGCACATCTACAAGGAGGGGTCAGAGTTCATCCTCGCTCACTTCCAGTTGGAAGCGAGGGCAGCTGGCAGCCACCACGGGAGCTGGCATGCGGGTCTGGGGCCTCTGATGCCAGGGCTGGATGGAGCACCTCACCTGCTGACTCACCCCAGGGTGATGAGCCCACCCACCACCTCACTCTGCCCTGACCTGCCATTTTGATTGGTGCATTTTTTGGTACAACAGGAAGTCATGTTCATGGCATACTCTACGCATGAGAAAGCGGGCAGAAGTGGAGAACACGGGTAAAAATGAAGCCACAGGGCCTCGTAAACCCAAGGATATTCTGGGCAACAAAGTCTCTGTTAAAGTGAGTAAGGTATTCCGGAGCGGTGTTCCCACCTCTCATCCACTCCCACCCTGCAGCATTCTCACAAGGCAATTTGGGTGGATGGGGATTTTTTTTTTTCCCAGAATGGGGACCAGAGGGGAAGTAGTTTAGCAGGATGGTGCATGCAAGATCAATTTATTTTTTATTTTTTATTTCTCCTGGCAACTTCGATTCAAGTAAGTACCTCTTTTTTGTTTCTTTTATACCTTTCTCCTTATACTGTGCAGATGTTTTATAGCAAAATTATCTGCAGCATTATTCTCTTAGAAATGCAAGATGCTTGATTCATATGAAATTTCTGAGAGCTGCCCATTCAGTATCCTAGGTTTGAGAATACATGCAGGTTAAAGGGATGAGGGATACCTTCCAAACCCCCAACCCTGTGAAGGCTGAGGTTTGGAATTTAAGGGCTACTGTGTCCTTAGTAGAGTTTTATTTCTTTTCCCAAGAGTTCAGACGACATCAACTTTAGGCCATTTTACTTGCCTCCCCGTACGTATGAGCACAGTAGGGGGCACATCAGTGAAACCCAGGTTATTTCTTTGAAAAAACCCATGACTCACAAATTCTAAGTTTGGCAGACCCTTATTTTTCCCTATCTTGAAACAATATTATCTATTTCTTTAAATTGGGCCCTCTGAAAAGATCTGCCTCTGGGCAATGGAAATTAGACAGTAGTTATTTAATTGTGTTATCATGTGCGATTATCTACCTGGCACTTTCTCTTCCTGAGCAAAGTAAGAACAACTAAAACCTGATCTAAATGTCCTTCTTGGGGAAAAGAAATTATATGCCCGCCTTCACTCTCATCTGGGAAGTCCAGCCTCACAGACGACAACAGTTTAAATTCTGCAGCACTCATGCTTCATCTGGCTGCTTCCATTGCTGTTTCCTGTGAGATAAGCAGCTGTACACCCCCCAGCCTCCCCTCCCTGAAAAGAGCATGCTGCTGCCCTTGGTAACTCGCATTCGCACCTTACAAGCACCTAGTTTTTTTCTCTGCCCAACTTCCCGTCTCCCATGCTTCTCTGAATTCTCCTCTCTCTAGCAAGAGCTACTTGTGTTCTAACTGTGTTCTCTTTCTTCCCCCTTCCTCATGCTGCCAATCAAGGAGACGAACAGTTCCGAGGAGTCAGAGTGTGATGATCTTGACCCTAATACTAGCATGGAGGTAGAAGCAGCTATTGTTGTCCTATTTCCTACAATGATTGCCTTTTTTGATGTGTTCTCTAACTATGACCTTGCTAAAGTGGCCAGCCATTCAAGGATACATTGTGATGTTGTTGTCCCATCCCAACTGAAAAAGAAAGAAACCAGCAAAAACATAATTCAGCTCGATTTGGGTAGAAAATTTTATCTAGATGTCTTTTTAAAAACAAAAGCATGTCGTTCTCTTGAATGCTTGCTGAATATTTTCTCCTTTGGCAGGTTTGGCTTTATGTAGAAAATATCCAATTTCATTATTTGAAACTTAGAGCACATATTTCATGGAAAACAGTACTATAAATAATGGATGGGTCCCAGCAAAATGACAAGAACTCATGTGGTGTTTAGTTTCTCCTCTTGTGTTTTCCCCTCCCTTCTTCCTCATTTTCTTTCCCCTTTAGCCTCTTCCTCTAGTCCTTCTACTGGGATCTCTTTCTCCCTCAATACCCCAGCAAAATCATGGGTTAGGTATGGCTTTGTGGGTGGTCTGGCACTCAGTCACTATGAACAGCAAATGAAGTGGGATTGGAGCAAGTCCGGAGCACACCTTGGCTGAATCCCCAGGCTCATGGGCAGTGGCTGTGCTCACCGGGGACAGCAAGATGCCCTGAGGGGACAACCTCCCTCCTGGAGCCATGGCAAAGGCCTCTCCAGAGAGGATGAGGCTGAAACACAGCACAAGGAACCTTCCTCACCCTCCAGGGCCTGGGCATGTGGGAGTGGAACCACACCTCTATCAACAAGAAAATCCATTCCACTTCTAACTCACGTACTTTGCCACTGATTAATAGCCATCATAAATTTACAAACCCTGGACCACTGGGGCAAATGCAGAGTTGACTTTCCTTGTCACTTTGTCTTTCAGAGTAAACTGTATTGTTTTCTCCAGATCTGTGCCTTCACCCTCAGTCATGGATACAAGTTTAGAGATTTCCTCTAAGTACAAAATAGAGAGAAAAAAAGTTGAACTTTTCTCTCTGTGCAGTCCTAAGCTTTCCACTCAATTAGATGGACTTTTCATATTCTTTATTCTAATGTAATCTAATCTCCAAGTCCACCACCATATTATAACAACCTCCACAAAACCCAAGAGAGACCATGAGGCCTAAGAACCGGTAAGTCAGCTTTGGATGGAGCCAACTGAGTTGAATCAGGCCAAGGCAAGTGGTTGAAAATGGAAGTTCTGCCAGGATAAGATGCTCCCTTGTGGATGTGGGTATTGCCACAAAGCTAAATCTGGCAGGTGTGGGTCAGTACAGTGCTCCACTGTGAGAGGAAGTGGATATGGCATGCATAGCCTTCACATGTCTTAGAGAATAAGGAAGCCAGGGGAAGTTTCAGGGTCTGCTTTCCCTGCATTTCACAGGATAGGCACCCGCACTCTTGGAGCCACACCTGTCAGCTTTTGGATGCCAGCTGGCTCCTCTACCCCTTGACCGAAGTATTGCTGGCATATGTTAACGATTGTCAACTGCAAGTAGAGGAAGGCCAGACTGAGGCAGGGAAAAAGCCAGGTATCTGTGTTCCAGAATTAATTTGGGACCTTGTCTAGCTCTTGAGGAGAAAAATAGTGATTTTCTCACCCTGTAAAGGAAGATGTGGGCACAGAGGGATGAGGGACCAGGTAAGCAGTGCACATTAAGAAAGTTAACTGGTAGCCGGGCTCAGTGGCTCAGCCTGTAATCCCACGCCCTGGGAGGCTGAGGTGAGTAAATTGCCTGAGCCCGTGGGTTCGAGACCCACCTGGGCAACTTGGTGAGACCTCTTCTCTACAATAAATCAAAAAACTAGCTGGGCGTGGTAGCGCATGCCTGTAGTTCCAGCTA